CCCTCACGGAAGCCAACCTTCCATCCATGAACTCCATTTATACGTCTTGTTGCTGTGGAAAGGTTGCCAACATCAAAGATCCCTCTCACTCTAGTAATGCTCTCCTTCAACCTTGTCAATGAGGCAGAAAATACAGAAGCTTGACCACATGCACCAACAGGTTCAAGAACAGCTTTTTCCCTGCTGTTATCAGACTGATGAATGGACTCTCCAACTTCAAATAAGGTTAATCTTGTTAATGTTGATCTTGCGTCATGCACCTCCTGTGCAGTGTAACCTGAATGCCTTACTCTAAGCACCCTATGATCTGTATGTTTTTGCCTACAATGATCTGCCTGTACTGCTCGCAAACAAAGCTTTTCACTGTACTTGGGTACATGCAACGACAATAAATCAAATCAAGCCAGTTTAAACTTAGCCAGGTTGTTGATAAGACCAGTTATGTAGCTCTGACTGTCAGGTTCAGTATTCAGAATTGGTTAGCTTGATTTCCTCAGTTGATGACAAATAACATTCATTTTCAAGATAAACTTACTTTAACAAAGATATAAACATTTTGACAATTCAATTTGGATGTATCAGATTCATATATATGCTCTTACCTCATTATATGTGGATTTGCAACCTGTGGATCCACATACTTCTGGGGTCTGCCCCATAGCCCCATTCTTCTTTTTCCTTTCTTTTCTAATTGTCAGGTCCAATAGATTGCGAGATCCTTTGTGGTAGCTATCGGATTTCTGTTTATAGTGCTATCTACATTTTTTGTGTTATCCGTAGGCATTCAGTACCCCGATATTCGTGTGGTGAACAAATGCTTGATGTACCTGCCTTTGTAAGAAACTCGCTCATGCCTGTGCATGTGCACACTTCTGAGGAGAAACAAAAAACTGACATCTCTGTAGAGTGCTGAACCTTTACTTAAGGAAAGCAGTAGTTAAACTCATCAAAAAAAAAAGTAAATCACGTGTTGTCCCAAATGATTCCCAAGTTATTCTGCAGTCTTATATATAGTATAGTTGTAATTGTCAGAATTAATTTTCTTTAACAGTGGGATGGATTGCAATGAATTTCTTTTCAGGAGCTCTCCCTAAGTTGTAAAGATAACTTGTATTGGATTCTGATCTGATATACTTTGTTGAAATATTTGCAAAGAAAGAGAGCAAGAGAGCCTGCTGCTGTCAGGCAAGTTAAATCCTGTCTGACTCAGTTCAGAAGTGCCATAGTCTTAACAAATCATCGAGTTGAGATATGTGACCTCTGAAAGTTTTCCTGATTATATGCCTCTGAATGAGGTCCGTGCTTATTGCAGGTGCAAGAAGTATGTCCGGTTCCCTTTCCTTAGCAAGTGTCCTTTGTTTAAAGTTAAACATGTGTTTGTATATGTCCACATAATAACTTAAAGTTAATATTCAGAAATCTTTTATTTCATAACAACTGTCAAATGTTACTTTCACAGCAATAACATTGCTGTGTTCCACAAGGTCCACGTGGCTTCAGTCCTCACTACAACCATGGTCAGTGAAGATGAATTCAAGAGGTGATGTGGGAGTGACTGTTTCTGTTATAAAGGCAGGTTTTGAGTGATTCTGGCATCAAGGAATCCTAACAAAATTGGAGTCAGTGGTAATCAAGAGAGAACCTTGCAGGTTGGGGCCATGCCAAGCACAAAGGATACGACTGTCTACAATCTTAGCCCCAGGATGTCATGTGTGGAATGCAATGGAATATTGTCCATTTAATAAGACATATATAGTTCCAACACCAATCAAGAATCCAACAGAATCCAGGATAAAGTAACTTGATTGATTCCTCATCCACCTTCTTAAAATTGACCCCCTCTAGCTCCCTCCAGACAAGATGCACATACATAGAACATTACAGCGCAGTACAGGCCCTTCGGCCCTCGATGTTGCGCCGACCTGTGAAACCAATCTGAAGCCCATCTAACCTAAACTATTCCATTATCATCCATATGTTTATCCAATGACCTTAATGTTGGCGAGTCTACTACTTTTGCAGGCAGGGCATTCCACGCCCTTACTACTCTGAGTAAAGAACCTACCTCTGACATCTGTCCTATATCTATCACCCCTCATTTTAAAGCTATGTCCCCTCGTGCTAGCCATCACCATCCGAGGAAAAAGGCTCCCACTGTCCACCCTATCTAATCCTCTGATCATCTTGTATGTCTCTATTAAGTCACCTCTTAACCTTCTCTCTAACGAAAACAGCCTCACGTCCCTCAGCCTTTCCTCATAAGACCTTCCCTCCATACCAGGCAACATCTTGGTAAATCTCCTCTGCACCCTTTCCAATGCTTCCACATCCTTCCTA